CAAACAGAAGAAATTAAAAACAGCATCATTCATTTTAAGGACCTCCTACAAAGCTGGTAATCCCATTGTACCAAATGCTTCAAGATCACACTATAAAAATCCTTAAAAGAGAGTGCTTTCTGCCAGAGCCAGTTTACCTATCGGGGCTCTCATGTCATCCAGGTTAGTGCATGTTCTGTTCTGCAACAGGTTAACAGCAGCATTTAGCAGACTGCATAGGCCAAAGACAGTGAAACACAAACTGCCCGAGTTTAAGAGTAGGTATTGCTTCTTCTCAAATTGTAAATTTGTGGTGACTCACTGCTGCTTTAAATAAAACCACACACACAACTCTACAGTTAACAGAAGCATTGATGAAACTGTAGTAGCCAAGCCTTTATTACATAGTGATGCTCCACATGGAGTGTCAGCTGCTGGAATCTGTAATCAAAGGTAGTTGCACGCCATCACGCTTCATCTGTTGTACAAAAGACGAGCTATGCAGTCTCTCTCCCCAGAAACTGCACAATCTGAAGAGTTCCCTGCAATCATTGCAAATTCACAAGACTAATTTCGTGAAGTTTAAGATTAGCAACATATCAAATTGGGATAAAAGCTTAAATACAATAACCTAAACTAGTAAATAGCACAAGACTATTTAGAATCAACAGCGTTACATTAAGTAAAAACCAACCAACCACACTCTGAATACAAACCCTTAAGCACAATATCCAGGAAAGCCTGATAAGTTTTCCAAAGAAAATTTCTTCCCCTCCTCTAGCCAACAACCAAGACTAAGTTCTCACCTCTGGACAGTATACTACTGAGCACAACCTACAATAGCCAAACAGCTCAACGTTGCACTTGAGTCATCCTTCAGCATGGAGCCTGTCAACACTTTGCTTAGCTCAACTAAACAGATTTTGGTACAGGACATAAATCCCAGTACTTAAATTTTATGATGCCTTTACAATGCATCCTCACATGTGTGATACTCATAGTCACTGATTTCCCGTAACATGGACAATTTATACTTCCCCCTCCAACAGATAAGTTTTTAAGAGGAAGTGTTGAAAAACTGCTATGCCTAAATTATATGACAAATGCAGAAGTCATTCAATGTTTCTTCATCTAGAATCCAGAAATTTCTCTCCATATAGAAAAAAACATGCTGTGGAAGAAGTGTTTGTGGAAGAATTGTTTGAAAGCAGGAACTGAGAGGAAAACTAGCGCCTAACAGAAGTTTTGGCATTACAGAGGCCTGCTTGGGGTGCTACAAAGTTGCCACTTCCAGGATGGCTGGTGCGCATGGACTCTGCTCCTCCACAGTTCCCTGGGCAACGCAATCTGCCCTCCTCGCAGCTGCAAAGGGGAGTAACAGAGGATGGAGCAGAGTGAAGACACCGCGGCCAAACTCTGTTGCACTCCCTGTACTGGGCCGCTGATAAGCCGCACAATGGCTGTCTAATGGGAGATATAGGACAACAAGTCCAGTGCTGAGCCAGCACAGGTGGCAAATCACTCCTTTCAGATGAACTTTGCTTGAACTTTGCTCATTATAATGTGAAAACCACACCTCCATCCCCAAAGTTACCTGCCTCCGAGGCACGACCACCCCTCACTGAGCATGCACTCTAGATTTTCGGTTGACTGTATCTTTAAACGAAAGCGAGAAACTTTTTCACCAATCAATAACAATATTAAATATGACTCTAGTCACTCAAGCTCCACCTGCATGTAAAGAAAAGTATAAAAGGTGAACTAAGGATGAAAAGGGGCGGGGGGAAGAATCCATCGTAACTCCTGGGTCAGTCGACAGGCTGATCCCCCCTTCCCTCCCCTCGCGCTGGGACGCTGCCTGAAGAGACTAAGAAGTGGGAGGGAAGAATCCATCATAAATTCTGGATCAGTTGATGCGCTGATCCCCCTTTCCTCCCCTTGCGTCAGGATGCCGCCTGAGGAGACTCAAGACTGAGAGGCCTTTCCCATCTTCTGGGGTGAGTGATGATTGCACATTTGTACATCAGAGCTAGCTAAAACCCCACGCTCTAGTAGAGAATTTCCTGTACTGACATCCGAAACCTGCTTTGTAAATATTGCATTTGAATAAATGATACTGTTTGTGAACTCGACTACTTGTTTGGGGGGAGGCAATCGGACCTACAGTTGACAGACTGTTCGTGAATCCGATACTGCCAGAGTCGAGCTTATAGGTGATCACACTATTTGGGAACTCGATTCGCTCCTAGGAAGGCGGTCGGCCCTATGGTCCACGGACTGTTTGTGCATCTGATACTGCCAGGGTCGAGCTTATAGTTGATCACACTATTAGGGAACTCGATTTGCTCCTACAAAGGCGATCGAACACTCCCAGTTCTCGCAGTCTCTCTTTGTATAGAAGATGCTTCGAGCCCTCTCATCTTGGTGGCTCTTTGCTGGGTACACTCTAGAACACCAGTGTCTTTCTTGCATTGGTGAGCCCAGAACTGGACTCAGCACTCCTAATACGGCCAACACCACAGCTGAATAGAGGGGAATGATCAATCCCCTCAAGACTGAGTGTTGCCTCAATCTGCTGGCAACACTCTTAACAGCTCCGGTGTTTTTTTGCTACTAGGGCACAATGCTGGCTCATATTCTACTTATTGGCCACCAGAACGCACTCTTCCCCCCCCCACACACACACACACACCTTTTTTTTTCTCCCTCTCCTCTCCTCCCCTCTCCTCTCCTGCAAAGCTGTTCTCCAGCCAGCTGGTCCCAAGCCTGACCTGATGTATGGAACACAAAATATTGCATTTTCTCACATTGAACTTCTTAAGAGCCCTGTAGGTCCATTTCTTCAGTCTGTTGAGATCCCTTCTGAATGGCGACATGACCATGTGGTACACCAACCACTCCTCCTCATTTTGTGTCATCTGCAGTTTAAGAAAATCATGCAGGATCCATTTTCTGTGCTCCGCCATGTCTTATTCCCCACACCATGCCTCCCCTTCCCCCTTGCCCAAGCATCTGAGAACCCTACAGGCAACATTCTTGCTGTAAGTTCAGAGCTAGAAGTACTGTTTCTTAAACTCAGTAATACATACTTCTATTTAGATATTTGTATAGTTTTAATTGCTACAGAACACTGAGATCACCTCTGCTCTTGAGAAGTTAAGAGCATAAGTCTGCATATGCAATGCTCTGTTAGAGGCTGTGGATTTAGCTGCAATAATTCATTTTGCTTGCAACTTGTTCTTGGGACCCCTAAGTCCCTTCCTCTATTGCTACCCATATTGCTACTCAGCACACAGGTAAATACAGGTGCTTTCAGGAGAAATGACAAGAACTAAAATTATGTTGTCACTGGCAGCACATGACACTTTTCATGAAGTCTGATGCCTTCAGGAAAGACAATAGTTACAGGGGCTTCAGGAAAGACAACAACTACAAAGTAAAATTGTAAAACATGAATTCATGAAGCCCATCCTACTACTCTTGTTATCTTTTTCCTCAGGATAAATAGATACATACCTATGGGAATAGCATACCAGTGCTTCTTTCAACTCCAGGAAGCTCAGCATATTTCTCCAGAAGGGCTCTAGAAGTTGAAATGGCTCATCCTTCTGTTATTTCTTAGTTACTACACTTTCTCACAAATTTCTTATTAAAAATAATAATAAAAAACAAACAACAAAAAACCCACATGTTTTTCCAGACTGCTGCATATCCTGTCCTTTCTTTGCCTTGACAGACTTTCACCTGAAAGATCTTATGCAACCAGGGACCAAGCTGCAGTACAGCATACTAAAACAACATTCATGTCTATGTATCACACCAACCTCTTCTTATTCTGATCCTGTCACCTGGCTGTTTGGCATGAGCAGTTCTGCAGCCATTTACTTAGTACAATACTCGGTCATTTCCTCTAGAAGGGTAATAGTTTCATTAACCTTGCTAACATTACTCCGGAACTAAAGCCCACCCTTACTTTTATTTAAAAACACAACAACAACAACAAACACTTCAATTTAGTTTAGTCACTCTGGTTTCGGTGCATTTGGCAATTACTTGAAATGTTTCTTGCTGCGTTAGCATTTCACATGACAGCATCAAAATGGGTTGAACACAAAATCTTAAGGAATTAGAAGAGCAAATTTTACTACAGTTGAGTAACTCCTGAATAGTAAGAAAGAGTCGTAGTTTAAGGTATAAAAGATGTGCAACCTCATAAAAAGACTATTTCTAGATTTGTAGGCAGGCTCACTGATAGTATATTAACTTCTCTACAAGCTTCACCCCTACTTAATCCATTGTCCTCAAATGCTGTAAATGCAAATATTGAGCACAAGCTCACAACAGGCATTGCATTATTAAACCTTAACTTCTGTAAGTTTTTAAAGTAAGAATATTGCAGAATCTTAAGTTTGAGTGAAGTATTTGATAACCAGATAGTTTGAAGAGCATGAATAAGATGGTATGAAAGACTTTGAAAAAAATCTAATACCCTTACCAGATAGAAGCAGTCTTTTACAGCACTTTGGTATAATGATCCAGGTGGCTGGAATCAAAGCACACACATTCTGGGCACAGGAATCCAATAAAAAGAAATTAGACTGAGGCAGTCTTTCCCTGTATCAGGAAACTTCATCTTGATGTTTTAAAGAAAGTCGAGTCACATTTTGAGATTATGTTTAATTATGTAAAGTATTTACAGCTTCTTTTAAACCGTCAGAGTCACACTAAGTTTTAACATTGTTTAAAGCACATATTGCAACTGTTGTCTGAACACCTACAGGGTCATATAAAT